ACGGCCGAACGCCCCCCGAAGGGGTCCCGTACGTTCGGGCGTTCGGGTTCGGGTGTCGGCCCGTCCCGAACGCCGGTAACCCTGTATACATATATATATATATATCGTCATATACTAGGCTACCAAAGTGGCTCAGGGTCAGTTGCCCGGCCGGGCAAAAAAAATCAAAATAAAAAAGTTATTTTAATTTGGGTGAAGAATTTCGATGTGACCCTGAGGCAAAAGTTGTTCAATTTATTTTTCTGCATAACATAGTTGTTTTTCGTATTTTTTGGATTTTGTTTTGCTTTTTTTTTTTGCTGGGACCTCCTTGCACGGGCTGGCCACCCGGGACCCGGGCGACCTGGCTAGTAGCCTAGGTCATATATATATATATATGTATATCTATTTATATATATATGTATATATATATATATATATATGTATATCTATCTATCTATCTATCTATCTATCTATCTATCTATCTATCTATATGTATGTTGTGTTGTTGCCGACGGTCCGGACAGGCCGCGTTTGGACGTTCTGCGAAATGTGGAAAAAAAAACAAAAATAAAAAATTTACAAAAAAAAGGTTTTTCCGGGGACAACCAGTTGACATTATATGTTGCGTGAAAGAATAAAGTAAATGAAGTTTAAGGAAAAAAAAAAACGAAAAGAAAATAAAGACATTGTCAATGCTCCATGGACCTATTGATGGATTTTGACACCGCCATGTTCGCTATTTTTCCACTCATTTTTTCGTCTCGCCAGTCATAAAAAAAATAACAAATGAAAAATATATGTGTGTGGCACTGTATGCAGAAAATACAAAAAATGTTTATAGAAATTATGCATTTCTCGTGGGTCGACATAAAGAAAAAACAAAATGTGAATAAACGGAAAAAAAAAAAAAAACTGAAACCCGCAAAGTTTTTGCACCATCCTCTTCGGCGATTTTTCATTGGTGTCTTGCACCACCATCTTCGGTGGAAGCCGCCTCTGTGATTTATTATTGGGCCTCGTATTATGGGCTGCTTTGTTTTCGCCTACGTAGCACCGTGTTCGCGTTCGGAGGCAACTGTCTCTTATACACATCTAGATGTGTATAAGAGACAGGTGGATAACAAGTGGTGAGAGACGACTAGGATGGAAA